TTAAAATATTGATTTCTTAATTTTGGGTTGGAAAAGTGGGGGTCGTCTTGTACATAGGGGCATCTTATTGACAGAAAAATACGGTATAAACTACATCTGTAAGCAATTCATTAGTATGTCACAAGCAACATTAAGTCTTCAATCCACACTGAATAATTGAGGCCATATATTTATATTTCCAATTTTTCCAACATCGTTACACATAATTTAACTCTGTTACATAACTGTGCTTTCAAACCAGTGCATCTTAATTAACTGCAGCATAATATTAATTTAAATGTGAACATTTTCAAAATAAACCTATTTTTACATACCAAACAGGTTGTAACTAGGCCACTTCTTCCCCTCACCCTAGTGCAACAGTGGTTAGATTATGGTATGCTTACCTCTAGGCAACTGCGGTATCTTGCATTTACTTCTTGAGAGAGAGGCACAATTTTAAAGAATTCATGCCATGGGCTGGTGGCTCACATCACCACCATTCTGACGCCTGAAGAAAGGACTGTATCTGAGAAGAAGCAGCCAATCCTACCCTGGTCTGGCCTCTCAGAACCAGAAACAAGCAAGAGACATTGAAATTTAAATAGCATATTACAATATAGGTTTTGTTGGCCCCTTTTCTTCCCCTTTCACAATTCTTTGCATTATTTCAGTATTATCCCCATGGTCTTCTGCAGGGCTTCACAAGAGGCAGGTGCTATTTCAGATTGGGCAAGTGTTCTTCTCAGTTTGGAAACCAGCATGCCATTCCTGGTTTGCACTTCTTCAAGCAGTTACAAAATGGTGTCTAGCAGTAACTAGAGTCCATGGGTGTTAAGAGCAAAACCAGTTGTAAGTGAACCTTCCACAGGATTCCAAGACACCTCCTATTTTTCTACTGTTTTAAATTTTATCACCAATAAAGGTTGCTTTTCCTTGCTTTTTCCTCTCAGGCACTTTGGAAAAGGACTATTCCTCTCAGTCTTTATCCTTCCTTGGAGAAATAGCTGCTGCTTCCCTTTGTAAGATGTATTGCTGAAATGTAGTAAGAGCCAAGTGGCAGTACTTAAGCTTTGCCACTGTACATGTATATTCAATAGGAAAGGGGTACAGCTCCCAGGCTCCCCATTCTCCTCACCTTGCTCATTCTGAGCAGTAATGTATCTAGGAGCATGGACACACATTAACAGAACTGACAGCTTTAGAGACATTTAAAACAACTCACACGTAAAATGGTCCCACCAATATGATGTAGGAGTTTGGGTGTTGGACTAATTTTAAATCAACCCTCCTGGAAGCCCATTGGATGAATTTGGGTCAATCATGCTCTCTCAGCCCAATCAATTTAGAGAGCTGTTGGGAGGAAAAAATGGTGGAGCATCATGTATACTGCTTTGAGCTCCTGAAATAAAGATGGCTTATAAAGTTAGTTAATAAATAAATAAATAGAATAAATAAACTATTTTCACATATTGTCCTTCTCATTTTCATTCTTGAATACATTTATTCTCAGAAACACACTCAGTTACACCCCCCTCTTCTATCCTTTAATTTAAGGGCCATTTTGCAGACTTAAAAAAATATATATTATGTTCCCTAACTCAATTTCTCTCCCCCTCTATAATCTATATTTAAGGCACCTTAATTGCCCTAAAAATCATTAACACTCACTACAAAATCTAAACCTGCTCTCATAATAATCTTCATCTTCGTCTTTGATTATTACATTCTTTTTATGTGATTTATTTATGTAGAAGGCCGAGGGAATGACCTTGAAGGACAAGAGGAAGAGCAAACAGTCAAAGCAACAGTCAGATAAAAGAGGCCTGAATCCAGAGAAAGAATGTAACATGAGTAAACATCTCAGACAATCCCCTCCTGAATTCACAGAAAAATAAAGGGAATGGGAAGCACATTCAGACTTGCAAGTTTCTGTTACTATAGCACTGGTTTCCTAGTCTGATCTACCTTGAAGGGCTGATAATTTATGACCTAGATTTCCATGATCCCTTCCTTAGCTAGTTTTTCCTCCTATCTTTTCATAGTTTTTCCAGTGTTTTCACTGGTGAGAGCTCTTTCTATGCCTTTCTCTATAGTGAAATCCCTTTGAACTATGTTTATGGACTGTATTCTTTTCACCCTCTGTATTGATCAAGAATACATTTCCCAAGCTCGTAATGTCACCTACATGCTGACACCCAATTCTGCCTCTGCCACAGATCTTCTGGTTTCTTCAAACCCATGTCCCCCTCTGTCTCACTAATTTTCCCCTTTAAATGGTTGTGTCTCAAGATTTTCCATCTGATTCCTCTTTTGTCCTTTATGTTCATTCTACAGCCAAGTCATGCCACATCTACTTCTAAAGACCATTGCTTTCTTTTCTCTCAATAAAACAATTGGCTCATGTCCTGCTCAACTCATTTACCAAAATCTTTTGCTTTCTATTTCATTAACTCACTGTTGTCTGTTCACATCCATTTATGATCCTGCACTTCACTGCCAAAACCATTCACCTGATATTTATAAATACCAAATTATTTATATTACTGGCGTTTAGAAAATGTTAGCTAGAGTTTGGCAGTGTATACTGATTCTCTTGAGACCCAGACATTTTGGAGTGTACTCCATATCACTTGGCGAGCTTCCTTTCTCCCTCCCTCTAGCTCATAAATTGACTTTGCTTTCTGTCTTGGCCTGGTGAAGGAAATGTTTGAGTGTTGTTTTCTTCCAGACAATATTCCAGTCTGATGCCTATTATTGATTTCTAATAGATTTTTATGAGTTTTTGGGGAGTCTTTTCTGGCTATTCAGGCATAATTGCAACAGATGGCTTGCTAGAGAAGGTATATGTGTGTATGTCCTAAAAAGTGCTATTTACAAATTATTATTGTTTCTATGCAGAGCATATAAAATGCTGGGATGGGATGGGATGGGATGGGATGGGATGGGATGGGATAGGATGGGACAAGCAATCCTCATAATGACCTGCCTTAATGAGCGTTTATGTATTACTATTCAAAAAATTAAAATCTGATTTGGCTACTCTTTGATATTTGTATATTTTGGTGAAATTATCTTGAAATTGTTCCTCTTTCTCATATTAAGAAGCATAGCAATAGAGCTTCCTTATAGTGCATGCCTTATTACTTACTGAAATATAATATAAAACCAAGTGATAATTTGCAATGTTAGTAAATGGAGTAAAAATTAACAAAACAAAATTAATAGCTGAATGTTGAAAAATATATACAAACTTATACAGGCGTTATGGAAATGATTCTTCTTTAAATTGTTTCTGGGAACTGACTGCAAGCTTCTTCCTGTCTGTCAATAGAATAGACTTTGTTCCACAGGAAACACAGTGAAACACTGGAGCAAGTATGCTAAATGTTTGATGTGTTCTTGCTGTTGAAAGTGAAAGGAGGAGGGAAATGAACTGAAGTCGAACTGTGCACTGAGCCCAAAACTCATGGATGAAAGGAAATATATCATTGAAAACATGTTTAGAATTGTCAGAAGATTGGGAAAAAATCCTATTTTTTGTAAGAGTGATTGTAAGTG